TTTGATAGAAAAAAATATACAAGATATGTAGATACTTACCGAAAACGAGAATTGCGAATGATTGCAATTTCTTGGGTGCGTTGATCTGTTGATGTGCGTCTTGATACCATAATAAAATCATCATGGCTATAATGAATATAAAAATGCCGATATAGTTAGGTGTCGAATATAGTCAAATAAATATAATTTATTATCACCTTTCAATAATTTTTCTAAATCACTATTTTTATCTGACGTATTGGAAGCAAACGCATTGCCCACAACTTCCATATAACCAACGATAACTTTAATGCCATTCAAATTGTAATAAAGGATTCCATCGTGTTTATCTCCCAGTCTTTCTCTGTCACCTTCTTTTTTGGAAAAATTTCTTTGTCTTTTCCTTGTGTCATTTTCTATTTCACCTCTAATTTGATGTTGATTATATATTGAATCATGTTGGATAAATTATGGTTTTTATAAAAAAACACTTACGTCTGAATCCAAATAGCAGTTTCAACATCATGAAAAATAGATGCCAACAAAATATTTACAATTTCCTTACGATATTGATATTCACTTATAGTACTATCATGTATAGAGCTATGCTTTCGTATTATTTGTAAAATCCTAATATAAAAGACAAATCTGTATTATTTATAGTAACAATAAACAGATAACAATAAATATTACAAAAATTTAAAATTTTACATCTGTATATAAAAGTTATGACACCAAAAAGTTTCATAATCTTCTGGGTGATTATAATTTTCACGTTTTTGTTTCATTAAATCCGTTAGAAGAGCTTTGAAGTTCACATTAAATGAGTAATCATCTACATGGTTTTTAATAACTTTTGTATAACGATTAACCAAAGGTTTGAGTTGAGAGGAATCCCAAAAACTTTCTATTAAATCTACTTCTTCTGCCTTAATATTAAGTAGTTAGAACGTTTATAATTTTAAGTATATACCAATACAACAAACGTATATAGCTTACTTGCGGCCATTTGGTTCTAAACATGTTGACCTGGTTCACTGACAACGTTTCAAAGATTTTTTTTGTATATGGAAATTCGACGTCAAATAGACATAAAATATCATAATTTTCCAAATTGAAACTCGTCTTTAAATTATTTGAAATCTAAATAATGGGTGACATAAGTACATACATTATCAACAATATAAAGGGTACATGCATTATTAACAATATAAGGGTTGTAGTATTGTAACAAGTCGGTTCCCATGATAGGTGATATAAGTACATGCATTATCAACAATGTAAAGGTTGTAATATTGTAATTTAATGAATCGGTCTCCAAAGTGCAGTTACATAATATAAAACTATATAACATTAAAATTAAACAATCGTACGATAGTAATTTTTTATATATGTAATTTTATATTATGCAGCGACCAAAATTATGGGCCAGAAATCATCGCATTATAGTTTATCGAACTCAATCTTTAAAAAATCTAATAGACTGAAATAACAGCTTCTGTATAATGATATCGATATTTATACCTTGACTTGTGGAACCCTGATTCTTGATGACTGACGCTTATTGCCGACATTCCTAACCTATAACAAAAATTTAAAAAAAAAGAAAAAGTTAGCTAATGAAAATTCATAACAATATTCATTAAGTAGTATATTTGTCAAGTGCATAGCAAATGTAAGTTTCTTTAAAAAGAGCTTAAGTGATTCCTCTTTGAAAATCAATAGACTTTTTAAAAGAAACTCCTTTAGGTTGTATATCTTTACGGCTCAGAACGATTTACACCACCTAAGTTCTAATGACGGTGGCCTCACAAAGAAACTATTCTTTGTGGCGCCAGAACCATTGATTCAAATGGAACTGGTAACCACCTTTATATCATAGTGGCAGTCTGTACTTAGTTACGTGGCTTTAATGTAAATCAAACTGTAACACTTTTACAAATTGTTTATAAACGATAACACTCTTTCACTATATCGAAACAAATTGCTCAAGTGCCTCAGAAAGATTCTAAAGGAAAGAGATTTGACTACATACTATACTATAAACATACTTCATAATTAATCCTTCGTAAATATGGCATCTTGTACGTAGTTTAAGACGAAGTAATAGGTTTAAAGATGTAAACAAGTGATGTAAACAAGTGATGTAAACAAGTGATGTAAACAATTTAACAAGTTCTTATGTCGATCATGTGGCCGAACAGCAAATCAGATTTCAAGATTAGGTGTAACGTAACACAGTCATGAAATTTCAAAACAACCGTTCGTTTTGTCAAAAATCGCTTATTAATCAAAAGTTTGCATAAAAAG